ATTATTATATATATCTCATTTACTTGTATAAATAATAAAATGAAGAAAAGAATTACTAATAAATGCTTGTAATTAGAAAACATTCACAAATTTTTAAGTTTTCACAATTTGTCCTTTATCTATCCTCTAGTTTTATTCTTTATACTGGTATAAATTATACTTTTAAGATTTATAATGTCAGAATTAGATTTTAGCAATTTTAGATGTCTATGCAGAAAAAACTTATAAAAGAAGATAGATTTCATTTATTATCTTGGTTCTTGTGATATGAAGAGACAAATTATGAAGATTTATACAGGATGATTCAAAAGTTATTAGAGAAATCTTAAAGGAAGGTCAGGAATACAAAAACAAACCATTTTTACCTAAGAACATATAGCCACAAATGCCACCAGAAGTTGCTAGAAGTACAGGAAGAATCACACGGAAAGGAATACACGTAAGTTATACATATTTATTAGAACACTCAGGTATTGTTTGTGGCTATATGTTATTAGGTAAAAATCATTTGTTTTTGTATTCCTGACCTACTTTAAACTTTGTCAAAACTTTTTGAATCACTCTGTACAATGTAATTAGAAGATATATATACAATANACTGGGCTCTCCCACCACGACCAGGTGGTGACCACAGGAGAGTTATTATTATTATTATTATTATTATTATTATTATTTAGATTGATTATTCATATAGTAATAGTATATTAAACAACCCAAAGGCTGACGATATATATATACATAGCCAAATGATCACCTTAAATACTCAGGAAACTACAGGTAGACATTAAGCACCATCTCTCATCTAAGTTAATAATTATCTTGCCATGAAGTGCACTTGTTGCACACCGCATGGCAATTGGAAATTCAGGTTCAAGCCCAGTCATGGGCCAGTTCTTTTCTTCCAGATGATTCTATATTATTTAAATTATAATTATTAACCTAGATAAGAGATGGTACCTAATGTCTATCTCTACTAGCAAATTACTTAGTATTAATTATTAAAAATAGCAGATTTATAGCCTGAGTATTTAAGGCAATCATTTTGCTATGTATCAATAGTAATAGTTGTAAATTATTCCTTTATCTAATAAAGAATCCAAATCAATTTTTTTTAAATCAAAAGAATCACATGGCACATAAGAAAAGTTTGACAGAAGTCTTTAAATCTGATTTGATTTTTGTTGGTTTTATAAACACAATGTAACGTAATAACGATCACTTGTCACATTATTACGCTACATTGCATTTATAAAACAAACAAAGATACAACACAGTTTCAAAACATAGGAGGGAAAAAAACTGATTTGATTTGTTATAGTAAATTATTTTTATTAATTGTTATTCAGCTGGAAGATCTCATGTTTAAATTTAAGTATGAGAGTTGTGGCTGTTGTTACATTCCACAACATAACTTAGAAAAAAAAAAGGTATAAGTTACAAAATACAAAAAATTAAACTATTGTTGTACAGTAGAGCATCGATTATCCGAAACAATTCAGGACTGGGGTTGTTCAGATAACTGATCATTTATGAAAAAAATATATTAAACAGAAAACTGTACTGTCTATATTTTGTATCACATGTCTTATAAATACATATCTTACATAAAGTAGTACGTTTAGGTTGGCAGGGAGGGGAGAGTGCTGCAGTGCCACAGCACTAGCGGATAGACTGAAATGCTTTCGGTTAACTGATGTTTCATTTGATCAGTATTTTGATAATCAATGCTCTACTGTATTTGTATTCTGCATAATGTTAAGATATTGGGCTGAAATTTGAAAAAACAAAAATTTTATGAAGCCCGATATGTATATAGAAACATCACCAAATGATCACCTAAATATTTAGGCACTTGTTTGGTGATGTTTCTAAATTTGAAAAAATTGTAGACCTATAAATTCCCACTGTCATCTGTCTGTCTGTCCTTCCTTAACCTTTAGAATGGAGTTAGATAGATGAAAGTTGAGACCAGATATAGAAAGCTTAGGAGCAATTGGCCCCAATAAACTTTATATGAACTTCTGGTTTGCACCAGGAGTCATGTTATTTCAATTCAAAAATTTTTCCCTGAAAGGAGTTAGATAGATAACCGGCACAACTCTATTACATTTTTATTAATATCATGTAAAAGATTACAGCAAATGATAACAGTAAATTTAAATTTCTTCTATCATTTGTGATTAAACAGAATGGATAGCATATATTTGATTTATAAATAAATAAACATCTCCAAACCCGATATCCAATATAATAAGACACCAACCGAATGCCGTAAGATTAATTTACGGCATTCGGTTGGTGTCTTATTATATATTTGATTTTTACACATAATTAATTGATGGTAGCATTCATTGGAACAAAGCAACTTTGCACATAGTCTGACAATACATTCTATCACATTTTATTTTGAATTTAATGCAAATTAATCCTTAAAATTTTTAATTTTTATCAGTAATAAATATTCAAGTACTGATTCAGATATTTTGTCTGGCATGAATGACAACCAGGATACTTCATCTATCATTTATTTTTTCCAATATGGTAATAAAAAACATATGGACTAATAAGCAATAATTAATAACAATTTTAATTTACTACAAAACAACATAAAAAGAAATGTTAATATGTTAGTGGCAGTTATAAAAATTGAATTTTTCTGGAAAGTGAAAATGTAGATTTTGACTTAAGTTTAAAACATAAAAGATATCTATATCACACTAACCTTATAATGCTTTGCAGTTATTTTGTAATGTATCACAAACTCAGGGATTATTTCTTCCAAACAAACATTTTAATGAATGTTATATCATCTTAAAGCACACTAAAACCAAAAAACACTAGCAAAAGAAAAATGCTAATATGCTAGTGATATAAGTTACATTAGAGATAAACTAGAGAAATACAATTATATTCTAATTCATTTTCTGAATGCTTTAACATTTTGTATGTTGATCCAAGACTTATTACTGTACAGTACACACTGTGTATAATGTACTGTACTGTACATATGCTATTAATGTAAAACCACATTATATTTTCATTTATATCAAAGGAAATATAGTTTTCTTACACAGACAAAAATCAATTGAAGATCTACATAAATTTGTAAATATATTACTACTATACATTTCCTTCTGCATAATTTAAATTTATTGCCATTTTCATGCCAATATTATGACTGAAATTGTCTTTTGCATTTTAGTTTTTAACTAGTTTTATCTTTTTAAAGTATATTTAATTATTTTATAATAATTTTCATTTGAATTAAGTGTAATATTTTATGTATAAAGCAAATTATTGTGTTTTTAATTTACTTTACAAAATTTAGTAAAACTAATTAAAAAATTGCACTTTAAAGCTTCTTTAACAAATGTATTAAACATAACTAGAGAACTTTACATTTGAAAGCTTCTTTATTTCTCTAATTGTCTCCTCATGATGCATGTATAACCTGGAGGGATTTTTACACTAGAAAAAGTTGATTTGTAGTTGTCTTCTATATATAATAAAATAAATTTTTCATGGTTTGAAATGAATTAATTTCTGTTATCTGAAATAATTTAAAATTTTATATTTTAAAATTATCATTCATTAAGTTATATGAAAAAATTCGTTATATTAATGTAAAAATCTGAATTTATAACTTATACTTTCCTTTTATTTTTTTTGTAGTATTACAACAAATGAAGATTGTTCAGAAATTATAAATCCACATATCATGTTTCTAGAATTTCTAAATGAATTGAATTATGACTACAGTCTGTTACTTGATTTTTTGACTTCAAATGAAACTTGTATACTGTTATACATAGTAAACTATTTAAAGCTGATTAGAAGTGAATGGAACAATTTTCATAAAGCACACGAAATAATGAATCATTTAGCAAAGAATATTTCTGATCAATGTGACACAAATGCTATTGATAAACCTTTACTAAAAGGTGATTATACATTTAGTACTACTAAAAAGTGTAATGATATTTCAGAAACTACATCCAGTCAAAATGAAAACAATATTTTTAATCTTCAAAAATCTTTTGAAGTGTTAAGAAAATTAACAAAGAAGATTCAAAAATTAACTGATAAAAATTTATATCCTTACAATGCTCAACCTTTATTGTATCATCTGAACAGCTGTCTTAAACAATATGATGATTGTAGAGAATAATAAAGTTATTATTTATTTAAAATGTGTATATTAAGTGTACATTGAGAATCAAATTTTTTAAAATACAAACAAAGATTTCTTTCTCAAATATCCATGTCACTTTTAACTACATTGGAGATTTTCAAAGAAAATCGATAATGGTATTTCTATTTAATAAAATAAAATTTCAATACAAATACTAGTTGTATCTTGCTTGCTTGCCATGTCCTGGAACAACCATTCTTCACTGCAGAGATGACTTTTCTTTGTAGGCTACAGCTCTGCACAAATATGTAAAATAGTCTAAAATGTCCACAGGTGACAATCCCAACACAATTAAAAATATAACATTTTATTGTAAAAAAGCAAGCAAGATACAACTAGTATTTGTATTGAAATTTTATTTTATTAAATTGTAATTTCTGCCAGCCCTTTTTTACAAGAAAATGTTATATTTTTAATTGTGTTGGGATTGTCACCTGTGGACATTTTAGACTATTTTACATATTTGTGCAGAGCTGTAGCCTACAAAGAAAGGTCATCTCTGCAGTGAAGAATGGTGTTCCAGGTGATTGGACATGGCAAGCAAGCAAGATACAACTAGTATTTGTATTGAAATTTTATTTTATTAAATTGTAATTTCTGCCAGCCCTTTTTTACAAGGTATTTCTATTGTCAATTCCCCAATCAAATGTTATGATTGTCAAAATTCTGCAAACTTACATCCTTTTGTAAACTATAATTGTGCAAATTGTTTGCCACAACTGTCATTATCTAGCAATCAATGGAGATATTTTTTTAAATGTAACTTACAGCCATTTAGAAAATAACTCTTCAAATATGGATCAAATAAAAGTAAAACATTTAATTTATACAAAAGAATAAATTTTATCTTTGAAATATAAAATGTTACTTTAAAATCTAAGATTTGCTAATGGAATTTTAAAATAAATAAATAGGTTTCAAATTTGAACACCAGGGAAATCCAAAAAAAAACATTCATTTTCAAAATTTAACTAGTTTTCTGAAAGTTTCTAGTGTTCATCAGTATTCCATATTCTTTGACAATATCACATTTTCTTTCCCATTTTTGTAAGTTATTTAAATTTTTTATGGTAAAGATAAACTTGTTTATATTCTATATTTAGATATCATAAAATATTAGCTAAACTCATCTGCTAGATGTAAATCTCACACTTTGTGAAATGTGACAATTTCACCCACACCTCAGAGGTTTTTAAAACACATTTTGGGGAATCTCTGAAATGTTTGTATTCTATAAATCAGTTGATTACGTGCTCAAGGTTATATTTAGACATTTATTATTGAGGAGCATGGAGACTGATTTTGCTGACAGTTCATACAAAGAGCTGGTGAAGAATGCTGGCTCTCCTCATCCCTCATGTCCCTTATTTATACTGCTGTATTTCTCTTAACTCTGAAAAATATATATACAGTGGAACCCCATTTATCTATATCCCATTAATCCAGTTTAGCTGGAATAACATAGACATACAGAAAACTTATATATGCAAAAAATTCAAGGAACTAACTTGTAAGTAGTACATTCTTGCCTGAGTATAATGTTGCAGCTATCAGAATACTGTTTTCCCTTGGCTCAATACCAATTTTGAACACTTGCAACTTTATAACTGATGATCTGGTAACAAAAGTAAATACAGTACATCACAATTACTTCAGTTCAAATTAGTCCTTTGGTTTCCCTAAAGCCGTGGTCACACCATGCAATTTCCAGCCATGCAGGTGACTGCAACTGCAATAAGTGCGATCATGCAATAAGCGCAATTGTGCATCTTCTCATGATCACACATTATTCGCTGGCATTACAACTTGGAAACACGTGACTCTAGAATAAACCAATACAATTACAGTAGCTTGTTTTAGACTTCTTTTGTGAGTTTAGCTATATTTAAAACAATATTGTCATTACCAAACTAAAAACAATAAACATTTTATATCCAGAAATCTAAAAATTGTACTTACAATCAATGCCGAGACTTTCACTTATCTCATGCCATGCCTGCACTCTTTTATCCTTTCTTCGATAAAGTGAAGAATTAAAATCCCACAGGTATTTGTGAGACTGAATTAGCTCAATTAATCTTGATTCTGTTAAACTAACCATTATCTTGCTTTCCACCATTATTTTCTAACTACAGTATTTTCAATGTTGCCACCATATGATGTGGCAAATAGACATTTGCTGATTAGATATGCGTTTCAATCAGCACAAGTAGAACAAACTTTTGTTCCTAGTTCACACTGGTTTTCGAAGAGGTTTACTTAACAAGAACAGCTGTCACAGTTGCAGTTGCCTGTGTGGCTGGAAATCGCATTGTGTGACCACGACTTAAAGTGCACTAAGCCTAATTACCAGTTGACCTTGAAAATGGCCAACTGGTAATTAGGCTTAGTCTACCCACACAAATGGTCAGGAAACGTTTGTGTACTGCAACAGCTGATAGAAAACAAATTAATATTGTATGTAGATATGTCTTTTGTTATATACTGTTAATACTATTGTAAAAGTATATATAATATGCAATAAATAAAATATAATGTAAACCTAAATTGTGTTATGTTGTTAATGAATTTTCCAGATTATCTGGATTGGGCCCAGTACCATTTGAGTCAGATAAACAGGGTTCCACTGTATATTGTTTTTGGTAAATATGCTGACATTGAGGGAGCATATTACTCTCTCAAATTTCCTTGTAGCCATGCTCCTGTATTTGTAATATTCTCTTTTTGAGTTTTATTTTTGAAATATGAGATAGAAATGTTAGCTTTCAGTTATCCAAATTTATACTAAGAAAATTTGAATTAATGTTAAAAAAAAAAAAAATACAACTTTAGAAAGAAATAATACAGCACTAGGTTTGAATTATCCAATAATTCAAATTAATCAGATTTGACAGTATATAATACCCAGGTTTCAATACTGTTGCACAAAATTACATAAATTACTTAAGGTATTTCAAATAACTTGTTCCAGATTTTCTCATGATTAGACTTGATGATGATTATAATTAATAATTGTTTAAAATTCTAAAGTTTCTAGGTTAAAATCTCTAAAATTTAATTGGCTGCTCTTTTTCAATAATTTAAGTTATTTGATGTCAAGAAAATTAACACAATATTCAAAAATCATTGTATTATTTGATATAGATTAAAATTGGCATTTTACAGTCTAACTAATCTGTATAAAAATGAGATCTAATTACATCCATATGAAACTGGCCATAAAAAAAAAACATAATTTTGAAATTTAGAACAATCACACAATATAATTTTATAATTTAACATAATCCAAAAATTATTTTTGAGTTGTCATAAATTTTTATAGTAAATACATGTTGTAAATTATATTATCACATCAATTGTGTTAAATGCATCACTACAATAATCTATAGATTATCCATAGCTGTACAATATGAATAATATTTAACTGTACAATTACTAATTTTTAATATATTTTTCACTTTTCTATTTTTGCTCTATAAACTTTAAAACTCAACATTTGTAAGGATCTTTGGCATAGTAGTTCCAATTATTCAAGGTAATGTGAACCATAAGGGTACTTGGATAATCAAAAACTCAGATAATGTAGAATGTTTGGGGGCAAAGTGATCAACAAACTACAAGAATATTGTTATAAAATCAAAATTTTATGACTTATAATTAAAATTTCTGTAATCTTTTTTAAAATTCATATTGTCATGAGAAATAGTCAGAATAAGTTATTTTTAAAACTTCTAGAGCTTCTTTTGAGTATTGCACATCACTAAGCCAAGATTGATGTAACAAACTAGACTGTTATTACATTCTCTTGTCTTTATGGATAAAGTACACTTCCACAATTTATCTTTGATAATGCNAAGTGAGAAACAAACTACAAGAATATTGTTATAAAATCAAAATATTGTAGTGAGAAGTCACCAGAGTAAATCTTTTTAAAATTTATAATATCTTTTGAGTGTCATCCATTATCTAGCTGAGATTTGTGAAACAAATTGTACTCAACTTGTCTTACAGAATTCATTTTGGATGATAAAGAGAACATAGTTGAGTCCAAGATGAATTCTTACATGAATCCAAGATGAAGAACATTCAAGATGAATTCTATAAGAATTCATCTTGGATGATATGTGGAACCTCAATAATTAGGACTCAACTGTGTTTCAAAATACCAGAAATATTTGTACTTTGATGGTAATTATAACAATTTGAAAAATTTTGATCTATACACAGAACCAACAAGAGGGGAATGATGGATTAAAATTCCCAGGCCCAGAATTCACAGAGACCTAGACATCATCCCACAATCTGATTTTTTACATATATAAAATGCTTAATAATAACTATTGTTCTTTATTTTGTAAAAATGTAATATCCACAAAAAAACTCAAAATAAATTTTCAAATAATTTATTTACTTGGAGCTGCAAGTAAATTTTTTCCAGGCCTGGCAATGTCTCTCAACACCCATCTGTAAAATTTGATAGCAATAATCAATCTTTTGAGAATGATAGAACACTTTTTGATGTTTCCATGCTTATGCAATGAACCAATATATGTATTTATGTACAGTACATATGTAGTTAGATACATCTGTATAAATGGAAATTAAGAAAACAAATCATTTTAGAATAGTTTTTCATTTGAACAACAATCTTCAATACAATGATTCATGGAGCACTAATTGAGAAATACTGATATAAATTGTTGGATGTATATTACCAGGAATTGGATATAGTATATAATATTTATCCAATTAACATTGACCCAATGAAATGGAATGTGGAGAAGAATGAATAGCTCAATAGTGCTGGTTATCAAATGTATCATAGTAAGTTAGGAAATAAAAGCTTTATAAGAGATATGATAAGAGACATGAACAATGAACAACCTACATTATAATAAATATGAGAAAAACAAACACTATACTTCCAAACAATGCATTACCTAATGGATGTTTTTTGTTCACTAACAATCAGTCTAATATTCTCAAATATTCCAAAGATTTCCATTTAGACAGATACATTGAAATAAGATATGATATGTTGTTTCTGAAATCTGTTACATCAAAGTCTATCAGATTTAAGGTCACAGAACCATTAATAATATATATATATATATAATATGGTATATTGTATATTACTATTAAGACCACAAAATATAAAAATTATGTATGGCAAATAATTTTGTTAATGAATGTATTAGATAACTGTTTACAAAGTTTTTGTTTGGTTTCCATAAGAAAGATAATTAGGATAATATTTTTATCTTACTTATTTTATAGGTTTCATTTTAACCAATTTAACATACATTATAATTTTCCATAAATTACATTTTGTGCAGAAATGTTTGGGAATTTAATAGCCTTTGGTCTAAAATTTTTTTAAAAAATTGTTATTGATTAGATAATTTATCACCACTTATTAGAAATAAGTGATTAATTGAATTTATTTGCATAAAAATGATCATCTGAAAAATATTTTAAACAAATTTAATATGCAAATAATCATCAATGTTAATTGATAATGTAGCAATAATCTTTACTAAAAATTTTAAATTAATTCTATTAAATAATCATTTCTGAAGAGATTAAGGTGCGTTTCAAATTTATATGGACACGAAAAAATTAAAGTGAAACCAAAATTTGCTGCATTAAGTGACAAATGTTTTATTAAAAATAGCATGGATTTACATATTTCCACACTGCAAAATAAGAATTTTAATCAAACATTAACATTTTGTCACTGAGAATAATATTTTAAAAATTTTGTAGAAAAAACTGTTACATATTTATCTGGACAGATTTCAAATTGCAAAGTTTTCTTACAATTTAATGGCCACTGTAACCATCATTTAACTTAATTACATTAAATACTCGATTAGGCCTTGTTTCAATTAGATTCTGAAGGAATTCAATAAGTTTATCCCAAGCATCTGAAATTGCTGCCTTCAAATCATGAATTGTGGAAAACTGCTTTCCATTGGCATAAACTGTACAAACCATCATTCCCCAAAAATTTTCCATCGGATTCAGGTCAGAGCTTCTAGCAGGCCATGTCATCAGATTAATATGTTTACATTTAAACCACATTTTTATTGATTTAAAGGCATGCACAGGGGCATTGTCTTGTTGAAAGATTCAATTTGGTACACAAATATTTGGTCCAGCTTCCAATAAATGATCTTCAAGCATGCCTTGATACTTCTCTGAATTCATTCTTTGAGTTATAAATGCTAAATCTGTGGTTCCATTGAATCTAAACGCACCCCACACCATTATTGATCCCCCACCCATTTGGTGTTTTGAAATTATTTGTTTTTCGGTTCTTAAATCGTGCCAATAATACTTCCAACCGTCTGGACCATCTAAGTTGAATTTTTTTCATCACTGAACAAAACTTTAATCCATTCTTTGGACCATGTCATGTGTTTTTGTGCCTAATCAAGTCTGTCACTTTTTGCTTTAATGAAAGTGATGGCATTACAGCTTTTTTCTGAATTTTAACATTGGAGATTTATTTAAAACTCTCCACACTGTTGTGCTGCTACAAGACAAGTCTAATTCTTGTTTTATTTTTCTTACTGATGTTTGTTTTGTGGAGCAAACCTTGATGATTTGTCTACAATCTCAAGATGTAAGCTTGGGTTTTAAACCTGTCTTGAATTTTGGTACATCCTTGCCACATCTTTTTGATAAATAATCACCAACAGTTGATTTTGGACGATTTATATATGCTGCAATTTCTCTTATTGACTTGCCTTGTGATTTATAGGCATCAATCTGCCCTTTTTCATAATCAGATAAATTCTTTGTTCTACCCATTTTAGAACTTTGAACAACATAAAGAATTTGTATTACAATTAGATATGTAAGCTAATTTGCATATTTCAATGCTTGAAACTAAACAATATTTTATTTAAGTCATGAAATGAGTGCCTGTCCAGATAAATATGTAACAGTTTCTTTGTACAAAATTTTCAAAAATATTATTTTCAGTAACAAAATGTTAATGTTTGATTAAAATTCTTATTTTGCAGTGTGGAAACATGTAAATCCATGTTATTTTTAATAAAACATTTGTCACTTAATGCAGCAAATTTGGGTTTCACTTTAATTTTTTTGTGTTCATATAAATTTGAAATGCACCTTACTTTGAAATAATATTAGATATGAATGTTCTGAGTAATTAAATTATTATTTTAATTAATTTATATAATTATATATTAAGAAATAAATATGAAGCAGTGATTATATAAGAATTAAGTTTTTATATTCTACTTTTTTAATCTTAACACAACTGTGAAGAGATCTAAATGCTTTTTAGAGTTACAAAGAATATTTATTAAAACAAATTCTTAAATTGTAAATTAATTTGGTTTTCTAAATTTATCATTATGTACAATAATACTATCAATTTGATACTACTTTTTTTACATAAAATATTCTTTACAATTTTAATTTGTGGTACCATTTAGATAAATTAGCTCTGAAAGCCCACCATAGTAGTCCTACATTTTTCTTGTACCATTCTCTATAAATAGAAAAAGTTTTTGTTTGGTTTCCATAAGAAAGATAATTNCTTTTTTAAGCAAACATACTTCTCAAAAACAGCATGCCTCAATTTTTATTTTTTTTTTTCATCCCCAATAGGTAAGTTTTAGTATTAGAGTAAATGGTTTAAAATTTCTTTGCTCTTAAAAACAAAGACAAGTAATGTTTATTACATTGTACATGCACAACATTCAGCTCTGCATTGTATTGTTAGTGGGCAATGAAGTCAATGAGCGGCAATATTTGTAATTAAATTTGATTTTTAAAAGTATTAATATTTACAATTATATAATGATTAATTTAATAATCAGTTTTATCTTTATTAAAATGCAATATACTAACCTATTGTATCTCATATGCTTTTTGTGATTATCATTTAAGAATTTTCTATAAAAAATAGCCATTTCACTAGCAGTTAGAACCTGCCTGTCTTTCTCAATTTGTCTTACTTCTTTCAACTTATCTTTTGTAAATTCATCTTTTAACTAAACATATAAAAGTAAAACATAAAAATACTATTTATTTTCAGAATTATTACAAAAATATTTAAATAAATAAATTTTAATTAAGAAAATTTTATCATACTTTTAAATATTCGCTATTATGCCTTTCCCAATACTGCTGATTCCATATTTGTACTTCTTCTACTTTTTCACGATATTCTCTAACAGCCGTTAATTCATTCTTTGGAATAAAAAAATGAATTAAGCGAAGATTAGAAACAGGGTGAGGTGGGGATATCCAATTAGAGCCAGTGATTCTGGGAGGATTTTCAATCTCTTCATTTTCTAGATTTTCATTCTGTATAAAAAAATTAAAATTTATAGTTTTCATATTTTAGTTTTTAAGCATTAAACTTAACAAAATCTTTTAAATTTCTGTGTATGTGCTGTCGCCTAGGACAGGTGAAAATAAAGATATTTTGTTTTGACTTTTGACTAAGACCTCTATTTGTTAATCAGAAACTACAGCAGTATAATAAGTCCTATTAGTCCTATTAATAAACAAGGTCCTAGTAGATAGCATATACACAGAAATTTAAAAGAGTAAGGACAGAGATAAAAGGAATTAACAAAATCATATTATATCAAATATTTATGTGTATACAAACACTAGGTTTAATTATGTAAACTAAGTCACTTAGTTTTTAGAATACACCAAAGCTTACTTTTGGAAACTCATTCATAAAAATTACATCAATTGTTATCAGAAGAATCATAGCATTTATAATATTTTTCATTTTTGCATTCCTACATCTTGATATTATTTTTCTTTGCATATACTGTACAATTTCCTTTTGGAGATCAAGATAAAAAAATGTCACTAAAATCTTCACACTTTTGGACTTTCCAGCCCATCCTGAAGAGCAAGGTGTTTGTACCCTGTGGGTGGGTTGATAAGCCCAAAAGTACTAAGATTTTAGTGGAATTTTTTATCTCAATCTCCAAAAAAGGAACTGTTTAAAGAAACTGGGAAAATAAATTTTTGTTGGTTTTTTATCTTCATTTTGATTATTTTCCAGTTCTCCAGACTCACCAACTCTGACCAACAATAATCTAAGCTAAATGTTGAGTTTCTTCTGTAGTATCTGTAACTAATTTTCAGCTATTTCACAGGCTTTGACACATCTTACAACTTATTACTTTTTGAAGGGCAGTGGAAATGAACCAATTTAGAAATTGTTGTCTCAGAATGTATGGTGCTAAAAGTTAACCTAGTATCAAAGAATAAGCTCATGAGCTTACTTATAGAAGAAGCTTATTTATAAAAATTTCTGATATAAGATTTTCATTTTCAACTTATAAAATAAAAATTATATAACAAAAACTTACAAAATCACTTCTTCGTGCATACCAGGGTGTATAATAAACAAAAAATGTACTTACTCGTGCCTCTAAATTTACTTACAACTTACATTTATAAAAAAAAAGTCTACAAAATCATAGTAATCGTTAAATCTTCTGTTTTATCATACATTTATTTAATGTTTCTTTACTAATTTATAAAGTCATAGTATGAGAATTTTCTCAATGAATATATTATTATACAGGGTTTGTCCAATAAGTATAGGGACTGAAGTCATAAAAAGAAATTTATTGAAGATATAAATACAGTGAGTTAATAATTTTCAAAATATGATCCTCCTGCATCAATACACTGCTGCCAATGCTTTTTCCAGTTTTCATACACCCCCTGGAAGTCGGCAACCACAAAGCTGTTCAGGCACCCCATCGAAGCCACTTGGACAGCCTCAATCATCCCGAAACACTGTCCTTCAGGCTCCTTTTGATCAAAGGGAATAAAAAGAAGTTAGGGAAGTCACATCTGGACTGTAGAGTGGTTGGGGCAGTGTTGACACGTTGTATTTGGCCAGTACCTCCCTCACAATTTGCAACGTGTGACTGGGTACATTGTTATGATGGAGCATCCACGTATTGGCAATCTCCCTTCAGATGCGGCGAACCCTAATCCTCAAACAAACACTTAACCAGTGATCAAAGTTCAAAAGTTCTCACACTTTGGCCACATTTTCATCAATTAAGGTTGCTGTCAGACATCCAGCACGTTGTTCATCTTTGACAATTCTTTGGCCATCTTTGAATTGTTTATGTCACTGAAAAACATATTCTGGACATGGCTTTGTCCTTGTAAGCATCACAAATCATATCAAAAGTCTCCTTAGCAAACTTGTTCAATTTAATGCAAAATTTGTTAGCAAAATGCTGCTCAATGGTTTGCTGCATCTTGACTCTCAACACGAGCACTAAACACAATTTCACTTCAGGTGCGATCTAAACACTCCAAAGGCTTGGAGACAACTGAACATGGTCTGGTAACTTATGTGACATCTCCCATCACCAATCTCACCCATAGAGACCGCCTTCCATTCCCTTTGCAGTGGCAGGAAAAAATCAGTCCCAATATTTATTAGACAAACTCTGCAAGTTCTATTTAACTCTGAAAAGATATACAAGATGATTCAAGACCACTGTGACAAACCTAGAGCACTATAGATCTCACAGAGAAATGTTTTATGTACAGCAATCCACATCTCCCAATATGTCTTTTAGGAGCTACATGACCCATTAGTTTATTGTGCATGATGAGGGTCTAAGTTCCCACCTGGTTCACCATTTTGAGGTTCAGAGTGGACACTTTTGAATACCTTCTGTAAACTGTAAGTGTACTTGTAACAATAAATCATTATTGTGTTACCTGCCACCTACATTTGCATAGCTCCTGAACAATATGTCAAGGAACACGGAACATAAAATGCTCCTCTCTGCAAGACCTATTGTACCCCAGAGGTCCCAAATCACTCCATACATAAAAATAAAGTAAATGTAAATCACTATAATTTTTTTCTCGTACAAAATCTTAAATTGATAATCTTTAGACCAAACAGCAATTAAAACTCGCACACTTTGAATGTATTGTGAAGTATACAATATTCTATGTACAGACAAGCATATTAAATTGAAAGATTATACTGAAGCTCATGTCATATAGGAACAAATACTTCAAGACTATGAAGTACTGTTTTATTATATAAGTAAATCTTCAATATTCACACAAAATATATTTCACAAATACATATAGCTATCTGCTTTCTTAAAGAATAAAATGTAAAAACTTTATTTCTCCATCTTAATCTCCAAGAAAACACATAACAGTACATATAAATCTCATTTTATTTAATATTAAATTTTATTGAATATTTATAATGTGAAGCAGAAAGAAATATTTTTTACCAATTTCCTTTCCGATGAAAGTCCACGTTTTCCAGAAGAAAAACATTCAAAATTATAACAGGAAACACGACGCGAAATATTTTGTACGAAATAAATTCTACTCATTACTTCAATAAACAAATTTTGTAAAGTCCCTTTCAAAATAAGTCGACATATAGAGCCATCTCGTGAGAAAATTATTAAGTTTTAAATTATTTGTTTATTTAAAATTTTCAAAATCGTTACCGTTTTGTAAATATTATCCCTAATTTATTACTCTAATAAATCGAACTCTGCGGTATTATTTGGATCTGTCGACTGCAGAGATCGCAAACTGGCTGCCATCCGACCCGTTAAAGCTTCGTATCCGGTTCCTTTTCTAAAACTCAATGTTTTTAACATCTTGCGGGGATTAAAACAGAAAAAATTCAAACGTCTAACTGCTTTTACGTTAGTCGTAAAGGCATGGCAACAAAAAGGCTTTTGTTAGAGCCTATTTTTATTACAGTATGTTTCGGTTTTCCGAATAATATTGATACGGCCCGCGTCTGATATACATGTATTTGACTGGTCCCTTGCTGCGTTTGAGTTTCAGACCCCTGGTCTAGTCTACTGTGTCTTTTTCATCACAGTGAAGCCATGCGCCAGCATGCCTTTACTGTAATTAAACAGACACAGTCGCCTGAACATGGCGGCTACACCGCATGTTAAGACGACTGTGAGCAAACGATCTGTGTTTACAGTTAAGAAATGCCAACGCTTTCGGTTTAATAGACCTTTGTATACGTGTTTTTATTCTCGACTATGACAAAAGGAAGATGTTCTCTGACACAATAAGTTTTAACTATGTAATATTAATAATTTTTAATAAATAATAATAATGAGCAATTATTTATTTATTAAAAATTGTGGCCGGGCCACAATTTTTTATCAAACATCCTCATTTATATATAAGTTATGGATCATTTTTATATTTTGAAATGTAATTTATTCATTAGGGTAATTGCCAAATTTTAATATTTAACTTCAAATTCGATCGATACTTCTCCATTTAAAGAATCACTCATTGTATGACGTAAAATTGCAGCAATTTCATGTCTATAAACTAAATGTATTCGTGATGTACGAATACTCGTAATTTACTCAAATAACTTTTTAGCAAAGTTATCAAGAAATATTTAAGTGAACTTCGGTTTCTGTCATGTAAAACTGTTTCTCAGATATTGCCTTCGCCATATTTATCCTGTCTTTTCAGCGCGTATTTGTAAGTAAACACGGGCAGAATAATTATCTTAAATTATGATTTTTAAAAAATCTCCATTAAATTTTAAAAAATGCAATGATACTAACTGATATTAAAAAAAATTTTGTGTGGCACCATGAATTATGGAATATTATTAAAAATAACTTTTATATTATTAATCTTCATAAAAAAGCAAAATACGCTGTAAGATTTCTGGACTTAAATCCCGTAAAATGTGTTGAATACTGTAAGAAGAAAAGTTGCATAAAGTAAATTCAAGTACAGTACAATAAACTAGAATTTTTTTACAGATCATAAGAATTGAATTTGCAAGAATAAATTATTGTATAGAAAAATTTTACATCGAGCAATAAACGCTTCTTTTAGTCTGTTCACGGCATTATAGAACTAATTAATGAGATGAGGCAACGTAACATATGGATGTTCTACTAAGGGAAATCCCTCTCGGAAGGACTTTCTATGAGAGGAAAATCCAAAAAACTCCATCTGGTCATTCCGACATCATGTGATCCCACGAACAACTATTAGTGTTTAGCGATTTTATTTATTAGCCCACTAGTTCAGGATATTTGTTTATAAGTAATGAATATAGGGAGATTTGCGCTATTCATTCATTTCACTGCTATAAAATGAGTTTTTACATCGGAATATCAAAATATTCGTATGCGTATGTACACGAAACTGCTAAAAATGGCATATCTCATAATGATACAGGTATCCCTTCATTAACGCGGTTACTTTAATCCGTCGATACTATCGCGTATATCAAAATACGATAGCTATGTTAAGTAAAGACAGCTGGTAAAGTCGCGTAAATTAAATATTAATGATTGTACAGTTGATTTTAGATGTTATTTAAATCAATTCGTTGACCAACGTTAAAACGCAGTGATCATTATATAAAATTCAGGACACAATTGTCAGGAGTAGGTACAGTGACCGTACGTCCTTTATTTAAGAGGACAGTCTTTTATTTCACTGCTCTGTACTTTAACTTTATTTATTTTCTAAAATAGGCATTTTGTCCTTTATTTTGTAAAGTTGACGCAAAGTTAAAAAAATAATTTTTAATAATATATTGAACAAGTTAGTTTTGTGTACGCCATCACGATCAGTGTTGCATTGCTACATAGAGCGCAGTAGTGCAGTGTGTCGCCAACCAAACGGTCCACTGACAGTACCAGGGGGTGGACACTCTTATGGGGATTTTTGTGATAGTTTTTTAAGTCTCTAGTTGATGGATGATACACTTGTTAATTAAAGCTGAAGTTAGTTGAAAGGAAAAAAGAATGGTTTCTTCCTATTGTTTTTAGAAAAGTGGTTTTAGCATTAGAAAAATCAGAAAATATACAAGCCAAAAAATTTAATGATGCTGTGTACACATTTTATCAAACGTGCATAGATTATCTAAATAATTGGGACATGTTTTTATTGAAATAGATGTGTTTGAATGGGTCACATTATGCGAAATCTCTTTGTGGGCGAAAGTAGAGGAAAGCTATATCTTTATTTCGAATCATTGGTCCGTAAATATACTCGACGGTGAATTATTTGATGAAGTTTCATGTGTAAAAAAATATGTCACAAACGAAAAGATCGACGAATGGTGACAGAATAACCAGCCCTGCCATCAAAGGTGGATTGAGATTTTTGAACATTTTACAGCAAAAGAAATTGTTTTCAAAAACATTTGTAAAATCGTAGAATTTTCTTTGTCTCCCTGGATCTAATGCCCCCGTTGAACGAATATTTTCATTGCTGAATAATATGTGGACGAATGAAAAAACTGATTTAAAAGTAAGCACATTAGAAGCATGTATTTCCATCAAATACAACTTTCAAATGAACTGTATGGAATTTTATGACTTTAAAGCGTGAAACGGCGCTATAAAAAAAAAATTAATTCTATTGAAAAGTACAAAATTAATGTTATTTAAATTTTTACAATGTGTATATGTGTAATAATTCAGATTGTTTAAAGTTTTAATGTATGCATTGTTGTATGCTACTATTTTCGTAATAAATGTTATAAAGTTATGAATTTTATAAGGTATTTTTTGATTTTCTTCGATATGTCCTTTATTTTCCCCCAAAAATATGGTCACTGTAGGAGTAGGTGACTTCAGCTCAGAGGCAGATCTAGGTTTTTCGGGGCCTAGGGCTTATTGAAGTCTAATGGGACCCCATATTTTGTTAATATAAATAATACTATAAATTATCATAATTATTATATTATGAATATTAACTATTTTTTATTATACGATAAATGCTCATTGTTAATTAATGAAAATAATCAGGGATAAAGTTTTGGTGGGCTGATTATTAAATTACTAAAGAATATTACTGTTTTTATTATTATTATTTTATTGCGGTTAATGCTTGTTTATTCTGCAAAATTTTGTTTAATCAGTAAATCTTAATATGATGATCATTGTCCAAGGTGTCTGTTTTGGATGTAAATTAGTAAATGGTTACAAAAGTGTTTTTAATATGATTATCTTTAATGTAATGTATTTAATAATTTAACAGGTTGACATTCATAGTGTACTTTTGTCTATAACTCAACATAATTATAATTGTGTTAAAAATTTTTGGCGGAAAACTCGTTAAGTCAGTGGCCAATTTTTTTTATTATTACTCTTTATAAGTAACTATGTTATGTTTTATATTATAATTTTTTTATAATATTGTTCTAAACAGTCCCGAAGAAAGGCTAAGATAATACGTTAACTCGAAATGCATACGTAAAAATGTTTTTATAAGATGCCACAATAAAAATTATACGTCATTAAATCTGGATAGTGCGTGCTGTGAGAAATAATCAACCTGATTACAGGATTAAAGTGATTGAAGGTAAGAATTTATATATTTTAAAAAGATCGTCTTTTATCTCTCCACGGTGGACATTCTGCACCATGTAAATGCAGAAGATAATTTATTTATCAAATTCCGAACACAACAAAATGATTGAAGCAAAATTTAAAAAATTTAATTAAAAAAAATAAAATTCATTTTTTTAATTCAAATTTTTACGTAATTCGAACATTGTTGACGCGTCTTTTAACGTACGTTCGAAATTCGTCACACATGACGATTCGCAGTTCGTTTGTGGTTGTGGTCAGACGTGCTTTTGTTGTGCTCTTCGATTGCGTGCTGTTTTTTGAGGTTTGAGGACTTTTGCAGAGAAGATTAAAGATTTTGCAGGTAAGTCTTAGTCCATTTTGACCCTAGATGTAAAATTTATTTAATTAATATTACTTGGAGAATCGGTCCCATAAAGCATCTCGGCACATCGTTCGATGGTCGACCGTTTGCGCTTCGACACCGAAATTTAGTAAAAATTACGGTGTCGGTCAATCGGAAAATACTGGACGAACGAGAGGAAGGATTTCTATTAGTTTTGGGAGTGGTGATGTAAAGATGACGTTCGATTATATAAAATCTTGCTTCTAACCCCTTGTGGAGAATGGAAGGTAGTAGGAAGTCTCTCGATCTCAATCCGTCGTCATTCGGGGGATAGAAACGTAAAAAATGCATATATTTAGCCTTAAAATTCAAAAAGAATCCATTACGTCAATCGCATTCGAATTTGTTATGCGCTTTCTAATCTCCATAGAAACGGCAACAATTGCCGTTTCTATGAAAACGCGTATTGTTGCAACACGATTTTGCGTCACTTTNAAGGATTATTTATAGAAATTCAATTAAAAATTATATAATACTAACTTTAAATACGAATTCCATCGTAATTTTAACTAAAATATACTCTGGTAACATTGATGGACGGAGAACGTATTCTGAAGCATGGGATGTTCCTTGGACGGGTCAAAAATTTCGCCCTCCGACTTCTCCATGCAATTTATGTATTAGTTACAACGCTTTTCAATGGAATTAAATTGTCTGCAAATACATCTAATACTAATACACTTAACTGGACACAAAGAATTCTTCTCCTTAGGCTCTTTGTCTCTTTCCACAAGGTGGTCTTTTCTGAGTGCAGTCGATCTTCCACACTTACGGGACACGAACATTTAAGTGGCACAATGCTTTGTGCCACTTAAACGTTCGTGTCCCGAATGGGCACGTTTCACTTCTTCGTACGTTTGTCTTGTGTTTTGGTCGACTCGTTCGCAACTCTTTTAAATGCGACGTACAGTACACACGTTAGGGTAAATTGCTCTAAAATGAAACACTTGTTACGACTTGGGCTCGAGTTCCTTTTCCCGTGGCTACGTGCGGCGTGTCTTTAATTTACTGTCGTACAAATACAAATTACACGTAAGAGAGTTTCTTCGTTCGGGTCGGTCGTCTCTACTGCAAATACAGTTGGAACGTTCTAGCAATTTCCGGTAGGATCGATCTAACGCGAACTATCCGAATTCCGATTCGTCGTGAGTATAATCTTGAACTTTTTCTGCGTTAATCGGACCCAGAAGACATCTCG